AGGAATTGGCAGCATCCAGAGTGCTTCTCCTTGGCACCTGGGGAGTGCTGAGAAGTGGGACTGGCTGTGCTGTCAGCGCAGCGTGGCCCTGGCCCAGGAGGTCTCAGGGCTGTGGTGCAGAACTTGTGCAGGGCCAGCAGTGGGTGTAGAACCCTGCTGAGAAGTGCAGGGCAGGAGGACAGCATGGCTGGAGGCTGAGGGGGATGCTCAGTGGGTGATGCTGGGGTGACAAATGGGCTGAGGTGACTGCAGAAGATTCTTCAGCAGGGCAGGGTAGAATAATGTTTCTGTTATTCCTTGGCATGTCTTGGCTAAGGTCATATTTACTAAACCAGAGTCAAGGAGCATTTGTCTGGACATCTGGATCAAGGTGGTCAGTTTTGTGGTTCCTGAGACAAACCTGGTTGTGGTGCCTTGGCGTGAAGCAGGACCTGATTTTCCCAGCTGAGGGATCAGGGAGCAGCAGTTCAGAGTGATCTTAGGCTGAGGCCTTTGGGCACAGGGATCCTGTCCCACTGCCTGGGCAAGGCTGTGCTTGTGGGGTCCTGCTTGACCCTCATCTTCTCTCCACCCTCTGCAGGTTCCTGGTCCAGGCAGCAGTGACGCAGCTGCCCTTGGTGTCAGTGACCCTGGGGCTGGGAGTGCTTTGTGTCTCTCCCTGCAGAAGGCAGGGCATTCCCTTGGCCCCAGCCCAGTGGCCTCTTTTTCCTCACAGCTTCATATTGCTGGTGCAGCCAGCTCTCCTCGCAGGGATCCAGGGATGAGGTCTTGGTATCTGTGTGTGGAACTGTGTTCTATCTGGCCCGTTGTGTTCTCTCCAGGCACCAGCAGAGCTGGTGAGCATCTAGATTCCTTACAGGGTGGAAGTGGTTGGGTGCTCTTGGTGGACCATTACTGTCTGCTATAGGTACAACTGTGGCTGGTGGGGAAGCCTGCCCAGCCCCACAGCCCTGCCCAGCCAGGAGGGAGAAGAGCAGAAAAGCTCCATCTTTAACTCCTCTGTTGCTTACTTCAACATCTCAGAACCGTGACACCAGCACCACTGCTGTCGTGGCTACCACAGTAATAGACAGCCTCGTCCTCGGTTTGGACCCCAGAGATGGTTAACGTGGCCGTGGAGCTAAATACAGACCTGGAGATTTGTGAAGGGATGTCCGAGGGTCTGTTGGTGTCATTAACTACTCCCAGAGCAGGTGATCCGGACGGTTTCTCCCGGGTTCGCCGACACCGAGGGCGGCTGAGTCAGCGCTGCCTGGACCAGGGAACCTGCAGAGGGAGAGAAGAAAGGGGAGAAGATGTGGGTCAGCCAGGGCCCCACGGGCACAGCCCTGCCCAGGCAGCAGGATGGAGAATTGGACCCCTGTGCCCCAAAGTCCCAGCTGTGCACATCCTGCAGGGATGTAAAAGGGCATGAGAGTCTGAGCCCCATCGGCGTGGGGACACGGAACTGGTGGGATTGCACCATGGCCTGGGCCCCTCTCCTCCTTGCGGTGCTCGCCCACAGCTCAGGTGCCCTGGCCAGACTCGCTGTGCCCGGCCAGGCCTTTGGGCACAGGGCTCGGGTCCCCGTCCTGCTGCCCGGGCAGGGCTGTGCCCGTGGGGCCCTGGCTGACCCACATCTTCTCCCCTCTCTTCTCTCCCTCTGCAGGTTTCCTGGTCCAGGCAGCGCTGACTCAGCCGCCCTCGGTGTCGGCGAACCCGGGAGAAACCGTCCAGATCACCTGCTCTGGGAGTACCAACAGCTATGGCTGGGACCAGCAGAAGGTGCCTGGTCATGCCCCTGTCACTGTGATCTATGGTAGCACCAGCAGACCCTCGGACATCCCTTCACGATTCTCCGGATCCAAGTCTGGCTCCACGGGCACGTTAACCATCTCTGGGGTCCAAGCCGAGGACGAGGCTGTCTACTTCTGTGGTAACTACGACAGCAGCAATGCTGGTGATTATGATCAAGGTACTGATTACTTGGGAAGTGAGAGAAAAACCATGGAGTCAAAGTAAGATCTTCTGCCCTTCTTCCTTGCAGAGCAGGAGGATCATTCTTCTGAGGATGCGAAAAGTTCCTCTGCTCTCTGAGAACATGACTGCAGTGTCCTCCCTTTAATGCCTCAGGGTGCAGCAGATGAGTCTGGGGGTTAAGTCCCCTCATCCCTGTCCCTACAGCGGCAGGGTGCATGTTTGTCTCCAGTTCCACTGCTTCATGCATCTCAAGACCACATTGTCTCCCTGCTGCTGGAGCTTCCTCTCTCCTAGGAGGCTCCAAGCTGGTCAGGACTCCTCAAAGGTGCCTGTAGCTGTGGCCAAGTCCCATCACCAACTCTTGGCTTGCCATTCCTCTTGCTGTTGCTATTTCTCTTTGCAGGACACTGGGGCACTGGCCTTGGACTCTGCGTGCAGGTCTCTTGCCCATGGATTTTGGGCACAGGGGTTCTGTCCCTGTCCTGCTGCCTGGGCAGGGCTGTGCCCGTGGGGCCCTGGCTGACCCACATCTTCTCCCCTCTCTCCTCTGCAGGTTCCCTGGTCCAGCCAGCGCTGACTCAGCCGCCCTCGGTGTCAGCAAACCTGGGAGAAACCGTCCGGATCACCTGCTCTGGGGGTAGCAACTGGTATGGCTGGTTCCAGCAGAAGGAGCCTGGTCGTGCCCCTGTCACTGTGATCTATCAGAACGACAAGAGACCCTCGGACATCCCTTCACGATTCTCCGGATCCCAGTCTGGCTCCACGGCCACGTTAACCATCTCTGGGGTCCAAGCCGAGGACGAGGCTGTCTATTACTGTGGTAGCTGGGACAGCAGCAGTGGTGCTGGTGTCACAGTTCAGAAAGTTGTTGAAGTGAGCAACAGAGAAGTTAAAGATGGAGCTTTTCTGCCCTTCTCCCTCCTGGCTGAGCAGGGCTGTGGGGCTGGTACAACTTCATTTCTCCTCTCTATGGCCACAACTGCAGCTGCAGCAAACAATAATGGTCAACCCAGAGAACCATACCCATAGCCATCCTGTGGGGAACCTAGATGCTTACCAGTACTGCTGCTGTCGTAGCCACCACAGTAATAGACAGCCTCGTCCTCGGCTTGGACACCAGCGATG